TGTCTCTTGGCTGCAGGATAAGGAGCGTTTGGGCAAGCAGCTGAAGTTACGGGCCGAAAAAGAAGAAAAGGAGAAGCTGAAGGAGGAGGCCAAGCGGGCCAAGGAGGAAGCCAGAAAGAGGAGGGAGGAAGAGAAGGAGCTGAAGGAGAAGGAGAGGCGGGAGAAGAGGGAGAAGGACGAGAAGGAGAAGGCGGAGAAGCAGCGGCGCAAGGAGGAGCGGCGCAAGGAGCGGCAGGAGGCCCTGGAGTGAGTGCCCCCGGCGGACGCCGAGCCCGGGGGGAGCCCCCTTCCCACCTGCCTCCCAGGGGGCCTCTCCAGACCCCCGGCTGACGGCGGGTCCTCGTCCGGGACCACGGGCTTCGTCTGTGTACAGCGCGCAGGTTGGCGGAAATCGAATTTTATGTCCCGCAGGGCCAAGCTGGAGGAGAAGAGGAAGAAGGAAGAGGAGAAACGGTTGCGAGAAGAAGAAAAGGTAGCGTGCTCCAGGACCCTCAGCAGAGGGGGCTTGTGCCGTGTCGCTTGTGGGAAGCCCGCCGGCCCCACAGGGACTGGCATGTGTGCGGATCCAGTCCCGGAGCTCATGGTCATGCTGGCCTGTCACGGCTCTTGGGCCGGCAAGAGCAGCTCTGGCACCCTGAGATTTCCCGGCACCCAGCTGCGGGTTGATAGGGTTTGAGAGTTAACATCAAAATAATGATTTCAACTTTAAAATGCTTGGGGTTCAGTTCTAGGGGCCTTTGCATGTTTGACAACACGCCGTTTCTCTTCATTTCCTCGTCATGTCTTAAATTGCAGCGCATTAAAGCGGAGAAGGCCGAAATCACGAGGTTCTTCCAGAAACCAAAGACTCCGCAGGCCCCCAAGGTGAGCAAGCAGCGGTTTCCTTTGGCTTTCTTTGTCTCTGTCAGGCTCCTCCTTTTGAAAACCAAAACGGTGTCTTCTGCCCAGCCAGCCCGCCTTCTGTCAGAGGGGCCTCCGCTTGCACAGGGAGCTGCTATTCCTGGTGGAGCCTGGAGGTTCTTGCTGGGTCCTTGAAAAGGCAGCAAGGGCCAAGTGCTTAAGGGCTGCTTCACGAACAGTCGTGTGAAGAGCTTTGTGGGAAGGTGTAAGAAACCTAGTCCTTGCTCTCAGGACTTTATGCTCAGGACGGAAGGCAAGGGTCAACGTAGGACAACAGCCCAGAATTCCGCTTCCCCAGTCTGGCACCCAGTTGCCCTCAGAGCTGGCATCAGTTTGTGGAGACCTCAGATCCCCAACCCTTGTCCCTCCATGTTCCCCCGGTGCAAGGGTGTTCTGGAAATCTCTGCGTTTAGATCCCTTTGTGTATTTGTGCTCTTGCATACGTGTGCGTCCGATCACTCTGAATCCGTTACCGTGTGTTTACCTGTACATGCCTTGGATTCTTGCCACGTCGGCACGTTGGGTCTACTGCATTCTTTTTCAATGCTGCATAATGTTTCATGATGTGGACGGAATATATCCATCCATCTGTGACGTTCCCCCGTCACCGGTGCCCCGAGTGTCACTGACACACCTCTCCGTAGGGGTGCCTTCCTTTAGGACGGCCACCTGAAGGTGGGCTCGCTGCTAGACCCAAGACACACACTTGAGCGAGTTCGTATCAGTTATTATCCGAGTGCCCTCCCAACAGGAAATGCTGGGCACATTACCTGGAACACAGGAAATACG